CCAGATCTGAGGATAAATCCGGAGCAAACCAGTGCCGTGCGTCCCAAATTTCAATTGCCACATGTTGATTAAATTCGAAGTTTAATTCGGCCCTAATGGGGTGGTACGAATGGATTCGAATGGGCTTTCGCACCGAACACGACACCCCCTAAACGCTAAATTATTAATCGAGCAATTACAGCTGATTGGCTAGCAAGGACCCTTAAACTGCCATGTGAATTATATTGTCAATTTGTACATGCCTCAGCCGGATGGGAAACGATTAAGAGTKCCAAAATGGCACTGTTGAGAGTAKTGGCAAGTCACTGTTAGRTAGGTYATATAATCTACAATTTTCCCARGATTTTAGCAATATTTTACAAATGACCTTTTTGGTGGAACACTCTGTATAGAGCCTGGTTTGACKGCTTAAAYACAAAACGGTTGCAAGTGGAAAACTGTGGATTCAACTGCYCTTTTGGAGGCATTTGCACGCCTATCATGAGTGAAGTGGTCGCTGTCGTCGGCATATACAATGTTTCAAACACTGAACACGAAACTAAGCAGCAGGAGTTTGGAAACGAGTTCCATTACCTCCATTTAGGCCTATAAATGACCCCAACAAGTTATGAGTGCTGCTACCTTCTGGATTTTCGATGGCCAAGTAAGGAGGCCGGTTTAGGTAGCGTGATGTTGATTGATATGCAGATTATTTGCACACTTTAACACACGATTTGCCAATTATTTTATCCGATGTGTACAGACCTTTTCCTATAATTTAGTTGGTTGCAAGTGTTTCATGGACAGGGTCAAAAGTCATTTTAGGTGGCGTGATGTTAATTCGGTAGGAAACTTAACGAAGCAAAGAAAACAAGCAGATTTTCTGCTTTTAAGTCTGCATATTAAGACGTCATATTCAAGTGGCGTGATGTTGAGTGAGATGAATATTTACCGAGGTTAAACAGTGGAGAATAATTGCTGCTTCATTGCACGTGATTGATAGCCAAGTAAGGAGGCCAGTTTAGGT